GGATCACAGAATAAAGACCCTGCTGAAGGTGCCTGCCTCTCTGTTTTCCTGCCTCCTTCTCTCTTAGAAGAAATCCACAGATAAGCTTAAAAAGGGAGGAGGGGCTAACAAGTCTCATTTTATGTTTATGATCACTAACCTTGACTCTTCATACTGCTGAAAATCCATCATATTTCTTACTATATTTTTCCCCATGCCTTTAAGAGAGTATTTTATACTTCACTCTCTCTCCTCAGGCTCTCAGCTAATCATCTCACTTTCCATTTCAGTGAGAAAACAGAAAAAGCTCTCATTACCACATCTACTAACTACCCTCTGGGACACATTGTCCTCTGCCTCCTCTATGGCTGTGGAAGAGCTGTCTGAGCTCCTGGCTAGGTCCAACCTTCTGCTTATTTACTGGATCTTATATCCCCACTCAACGTCGGAAGGACACCGCATCAGCCATTCCTCATCCACTTGCATTATCGAGTTTTCTCGCTCTGCTGAATCACTTCTATTACCATCCATACATGCTGCTCTTTTTTTTTCTTCAAATTAAGAAAACTCTATTGACCTGTCCACTGATTTTGTATTTCATTTCTGCTCTCTACAGCAAAACTCCTTGAGGAGTTTATGGTTATTATCTCCATTTTCTCTTTTGCTTTCTCTTCTGACTCTCCAATTAGGTTTTGTATCTATCATTCCATCAAAATAGCTAATCAGTGATGTCAAAGTGTTACATCCAAGTGACAATTCTCAGACTTCATCTCACTTGATCTACTGATAGCACTTTGCTCAGGTGAACTATCACTTAAAATCCTGTTTAAGTGCCTCCCCCCATCCAATTCCCTTGTAATTTAGTAATTTCTGACTATGCTCACTCCCTAGGTGACCTCATTGGGACACAGAGTTTTAAAATCTTGTTATATGCTGAAAGTCCAACATGTTTTTTCCAGCCCTACTTCTTCCTTGAAGTCAAGATAATCATACTGAATTACTCACACAGATGTCTAGGAGACACACACACACACACACACACAAAACAAGTAAACATACAAAAAAATTCAACATCATATGTCACTAGGGAAATGCAAATAAAAAAACCGAGATACTACCACACACTGATTAGAATGGCCGAAATGTAAAACAAACTGACAACAGTAGATGCTGACAAGGATGTGGAGCAACAGGAACTCTTGTTCATTGTAGGTAGGAATATGTTGGGTAACTGGAAGTAATATGTTTTTCATTTTTACAAAAATATGTCATGACTTTTCCAGTCACTCAATAAAATGGTACAATTACTTTGAAAGGTAGTTTGGTGGGTGGGTTTTTTTTGTTTTGTTTTTTTACAAAAACCAAACATACTCTTACCATTCAATCCAGCACCTGTGCTCCCTGAAAACCTCAAGTCTGTATAGTATAATCAGTTTCAAATGAGTTGAAAACTTATATCCACACAAAAAACCTGTATGTGAATGTTTACAGTAGCTTTATTTAGAATTGCCAACACTTGGAAGCAACCAAGATATCCTTCACTAGGTAAGTGGATGAACTGTGGTACATCCAATCAATGGAATATTATTTAGTGCTGAAAGGAATAAACTATTAAAGCTAGGAAAAGACATGAAAGAAACTTATATACATCTTGCTAAAGGAAAGTAGTCAATCTGAAAATGTTACATAATGTACGATTCTAACTACATGACATTCTGAAAAAGACAAACTATGGAGGTAATAAAGAGATTAGTGGATGGGCAAGCATGGCCCATGGTGGTTAAGGTGCTGGACTTCCACATGGTCAACTGTGGTTCAAGTCCCAAATCTGGTGGCTTGCTTTCTTGCTTTTCCTTCTCTCTCTCTCTCATCAAATTAAAAATAATAATAAATTAAAAAAAAAAAGATTAGTGGATGCCAGGGACTAGGGAGAGAGAGGGATGACTAGGTAGAGCACAGTACGATACTATAATGGTAAACACATGCCATTATAAACTTGTCTGAACACATTACATGTACATCACCAATAGTGAACCTTAATGTAAACTAATGATTAAGTGATAATGATCTGTCAATGTAGGCTCATCAATTGCAACAAATGTACCACTCTGGTGGAAGATGCTGATAATGGGGAGAATAAACATGTGTGGGGGCAAAGGGCATCTTCCTCAATTTTGCTATGAACCTAAAACTACTCTACAAAATAAGTTTATGGAGTTGGCTCCACGGACTGGTGGTTAAGGGAACTGGATCCCATATGGCCAACTGTGTGGTTCAAATCTCAGACCTGGTGGCTTGAGAAACATGCTGGATATGTGTGTGTTTGCCAAAAATTCCAACATGATGAAGAAATGGATGAGAAGAAATTGTGATGGGACCACACTCCATGGGAAGTGGGTGCCTTTCCCTCTCTGTTTTTCTGTCTCTCTCTAGCAAGCACAGGTACTCTGTGGCAAAATTTGAAAACATAAGTAAATAACGTATATCAGTTTAAAAAAAAAAAAAAAACTAGGATGTTTCCATTTCCAGAATGACTAAGTAAATGCCTGCTGATCTAGCCTTCCTGAAGCTATAATCTACTTATACACAGTAGACATCTAATAACTTATATATAGAAGGTACTGAACTGAACAATGTTAAAGAAATGAACCTTCTTTCAAATTAGCAGCACTTACATATATTCAAATGATTCAAGATGTAAAAGTCAACACGAAACAAATAGTCCTCTCACTTTTCTTGCCTTCTACTCTAAGAGGGGCAAGTTAAAGGGTCTTGGAATACAACTTGGATGCAACTCTCAGGATGTATAAGATGTAAGTAATGATACAATCTGATGTCAACTTTGATCTGTATGACACAACCAGTGCTCGCTCTTAACAGCTGGATAAGTGTAGTCTACACCATAAATTGGGCTTTTATGTCAATTCTTCCCCTCTGCATTTTCTGTAATCATTTGCTGGGATGAGGCTAACATTTATGAAGTACTAAGAATGTTTAAGATTAACTCAAAGCTAGAATCCACCGATCAGGGCAGGCTAAAAAGGCCAGGTGGTACTCTCAATCAAAGCCACTTGAGTAGGGAGGATTTAGTCACAAACTAACTGCCAGGTATCTAAATAGAGAGATAATCATCTTGAGAGGGGCAGCCAGTCATTATTGCCCAGTGCTCACATTACAGTTGTGCAATTACATACTGGATCTAGACATGCTAAATTAATTTCTATATGAGGAAAAAGCCAGGTCAGGTGTATGCTAAGTTTTAACAAAGTTCTAGGGTAGAATATGCAATTTGAGCTAATCCAGAATCCAGTCCATTTATTTGGTGGGAAAGATCTAATAAGAACAATGAAAACTTTGCTTTAAAGGTTAAGTATATCTCCAATTCCCTGTGTCCACAGTGATTTGTTCTAAAGTGACATTCAGTGTCTGAGATGTTTATTGATTGTTGGAAAAGGGCCACCAGCACACTGAACAGCTGACCTCTAGGCTCAGAGAATCTGAACCCAAGAAGGTGAGGCCTTCTCCCAAGGACAAAGTTCAGTTTCAGAATCACCAGACTCTCGGGGGTCCTCAAACAAATATTCCACATGTATTTTCTCCCAAAGGTTCTGTAAACTGTGAGCAAGGAGACAAACCCTAGGAGGACTGGCCTGTCTAATTGCTTGATGCTGACCTATTTCACTGCTCTAGATCCCTTTTGAGTGTCCGAAGACAATGTCCAACTTGGGATAGTATCTACCCTCCAACTTTCCAAACCCAGACAGCAAGATCCAAATGACTTATTAAAGTTCCAAGTCTTCTCTATTTTCACTAACCACAGGTTTAGAACTTGCACAGTTAACAGTGTAGCAGTGACCAAGGTAGCAGTGTGCCACCCTTTCAGGAAAGCTGTTTCCCTGTCTGGCTTCCCTGGGATACAAGAACACAAGTCTAGACCAAAATACACGGCTAGTTTTTACAAATGAGTTCTTCTGATCCTCCTCTGAGAGGTAGAGTGTGCCTAAATCAATGCAAGTTCCATAATTTTTATATAAAGAGAACTTCAGAAAGTTCAAGAAATGAATATTATGGGGAAAAAAACCCACGCACAGATTTCAAAAATTTGTGAACTCATTCTCTAATTTCATTTTTCCCACAGACTCTGAAGTTTCCTTCTATATTCTTAAGTTAAAGCCAAGTAAATCAGTCCTCATACTAGAGTAGGGGTTCATATCCCTGGTGGAAGAGAGTCTAAAAGCATGAGGTCATTTCCTTCAATTCCAATATGTGAAATCAATGTCAATATGAAACAAATATTTTTCTTGCTTTTCTTACCTCCTACTCTAAGAGGGGGAAAGTTCATAGCAGTTCCATGAGACAGAAAATCTTTTTTTTTTAAATTTAGAGAGATTTTTGTTATAGGGCACATGTACTCACTGGAGAGACAGACAGAGAGAGACAGAAAGCAAGAAATAACCCCCAGGGGTTATGGCCACACCACAATCCCTTCTCCTCCATTCTCCTCTCAGGATCTTGGGCATGCATGCACATGCACCTGGCGTGGGTTTTAAGCTTCCAGGTCCAGGACTCAAACTGTGGTCGACTACATGGGAGTCCAGCAACAAAACCACTACACCATCTGCTGGTCCCCCATGAAGCAGAAAATATACCTGTGAGTCTGATCCTTGGGCATAAAGGAACAAACTATTAATGTACTCCTCATCTCATGACCCAAGATGAGTAAGGCCATAACACATTAGAACACACTAGAACAGAGGCCATGGGCCCAAGATGCTTACCTGGCTCTAAGATATGTACAAAATTAAAAGGAATACTGAGAGGAGCAAGCAAAGACAACTCAGAGTCTAAAAGCAACTGCGCAAGTTCTCCTACAGAAAGCAAGCCCACAAGCTCTGACTGCTTCAGTCAGCCAAGAAAAGTGAGTGTTATACACTCAACCACACAAAATGAGAAGCAGGAAGGAAACAGGGCACCTGTGGCCCCTCTTTCCCCGCAACCTTTCTTAACCTCCCAGCACTCACCTGTGTGGCCATGGAGTGGCGAGTGTGGCCGCGGTAGTGTAGGTGATGTGCTAGAGGTCACAATCAAGCTCTTGCGGTTACTTGTCCGGCAACTGCAATAAAACAAAATGTTGGTTACAATCGGACCACGCCATGGGCCCAGAGACCTCAAAAGGCTACCGAGGGACAAGACAGTGACAACATTCAACAAGCTGAGCAATACTGCACTTCAGACTGAGCTGGGTCAGCAACTACTGCTCACACCAGGTAGGTTCCACACTTCACTGTGTTCCACGCTGGAATAACTTGTGTCGCTGCCTTGACGTACGTGTATCTTCTATCACCATCACACTTTTCTAATGTTCGGGTTTGCTTTGCAAACACAAAGCTCCCTACAGGCAACAATCGTGATTTAAATAATATCTAATATAAATGCCCACTGCAAATTTGATTTAGCAAACAAAAACATGAGTCAAAATATCATCGCATCTCATAAAAATGAATGCTCCTGTCATAAAATGAAGTTATTAACTTAATCTATGAAACTACTATTTTTGAAACTACTTAGTCTATTAAGATTCTCATTTCACCATAAGTTTCATAACAGGCCTGAATTTTTCTATATAACTGACTTTCTCTTACATGTTAATATCTGAGGCTTTTCATGTGGTTGGAAAAAACTAGATCATGATGAAAAGCCATTTCATGTAATACCTACTCCTAAAATGTTTCTATAAATGTATTTGAAAGTCAGCTTATGTTTTAAAAGCATTAGAAAAATCTATCATTTATCAATATATACATCCAAATAATATTTACTGAATAATTACTATGCACTAAGCGCTGTACTAGGAGTCAGGGAAACAATAGGGAACAGAAGAAAGTCTCTGTCCTCAAAACTGGAGTGAACAGGGACCAGTGGTTAAGACAGGTGGATTCCACATGGCTGACTGCATAGTTCAAATCCCAGACTGAGTAGCTTGAAAAAACATGCTGGGCGTGTGTGCGCGGGTGCCCAAAATCCTGAGAGGAGAATAGAGGGGAGGAGACTGGCATGGCCATCCCCCTGAGGTGTGTGTGTGATTTCTCTCTCTCATTCACTCTCTCTTGCTCTCCTCCCCTCCCCCACAAGCGCATACACTCTACAGCAAAAAAACAAAAAAAAACATAAAAAAGAACTGTAGTTAACAGTAATATGGGAAGAGACAGAAAGAGAACAGAGACCAGAGAGGGTGGAGAGAGATAATGGGGAGATGAAATGAAAGAAAGATACAAGAAATAATGGAGACTGGCATGGGACCAGAAGCTGGCAGTCAGGAAGGCGTGAGGATGTAACTAACATCTAACCAGAAACCTGCACGATATGAAGGATCCAGACACAGGATCTGAGAGGCAAAGAAAAACCATAAAGGCAGAAGTACTGAGAGAAATGGGCCAACAGATAGTGAAGCAGTTATGTCACTGGACTCCCACATGGCCGACCACAGTTCAAGTCCTGGACTTGGAGGCTTGAAACTCACAGTGGGTGTGCATGTGTGTGCATGCCCAGGATCCCAGGAGGAGAATGAAGGAGAAGGGATTGTGGTGCGGCCATCCCCTCTGGTAGGTGATTTCTCACTTTCCCTTTCACTGTCTCTGTTTCTCCCTCTCTCTGTCTCTCTCTCTGTCAAGTGCACAGAGGCAAAAATCTGTTTAAAAAAAGGACTGAGAGAACAAATATGGTATGTTCAAGAAATACTAAAGAACTCAAGAGTGGGTGGCAGGAGGGGAGAATGCTAAGAAAAGAAGTAAGTTATGTAGCTATGGAGTAGGCCACAGGTAGACCCATAGGTAACCATCTTAAAGAACTATTGGAAATGTGACAAGAAAGTACCAGAAGGACTGAGATCAATCCCAAGAAAGAGATTCTGATTAGCAATGACAGTCCACATTCTACTAAGGATCAGGAAGAACCCAACCATGCCCACATCTCTCTTTACCTCAGTCACCATCAAGCGTGCCCACGCCTTCCACTGTCTGACTGGACAGTCTCCCACCACTCCTGAACCTTCAGAAGAGCTTACAGTTTCCCCTTCAACCTCGACAGCAGCAACCACCCCATATCCTCTATTTCTTTCCTGAACATCGGTTTTAATTCCAGCTCTAAGTGAAGACTTCTTATTTCCCAAGGACACCAAAGCTCTGGCAAAATCCTAATCCTTTCAAAACCAACTTTTCCATCTATTTTGCAACACTACCAGGGAACTGAGAGTGACTGAAAAAAAAAAAAATAGAATTATACTGCCTGGTGTCTTTAGTTAAACTGTTTATTTTTTAAATAATTAATTAAATTAATTAATTGGATAGGCTTTCTCTCTCCCAATCCTCCTGCCTCAGCCTCTTGGCTGGGATTACAAACTATAATCTGACTTTTTTTTTTTTTTTTAACAAAAACAAGTTCTTGCTTTGTTGTCCAGACTAGCCTCAAGTTCATGATCCTCCTGCTTCAATCTCTCGACTTGCTGGGATTAGCTGCACCAACACACCTGGCCTTTAGGCTAGATTGGGAATCGAACTCTGGCTTCCCATGTAGTCCCAGCCTGTGGAGCATAGTGGGCAAAAAGGCAGTACAGGTACAGACTGAACAGGGGAGTCAGAAGAGCTGACTTTAATAGGATTGTGGTCTTTCCTACTATTGGTACAGGTGGGAAAGTAGAGAATATGGATACAGACTCAGGCAGTATGCCTTTGTTTTGTTTTACCATAGGGTGCATGTGCTAGCCAGAGAGAAAGAGACAGTGAAGTGAGAAATCACTTCCTGGGGGGAGGCCACGCTGCAATCCTTTCTCCTCCGTTCTCCTAGGATTCTGGGCATGCGTACACACATGACTGGTATGATTTTCAAGCCACCGGATCCGGGACTTGAACTGTGGTTAACCACGTGGGAGTCTAGCACCTTAATCTTTTCTCCACCTGCTGGCCCCTTTATCTATGGTTATGGTGATAAAATATCAAGTGGGTCCTCTCTGCCACCTGCCTACCTTACTACGTTTACTCCACTTGTAATGTACTCCGCTTGTTCTCCGAGACAACTAATTCACTTCTCCTCAAACCACTAATACCCCTTCCTCACTTCTCATCCTCGCCTAACTTTTTGTTTTTTATTTAATTGGAGAAAAAAGAGACAACACAAAGAGAAGTACTATATATTCCCACTGCAAAAATCTACTAGTCCACCTGAGCCTGTATCCATATTCTCTGCTTTCCCACCTGCACCAATGGTAGGAAAGACCACAATCCTACTAAAGTCAGCTCTTCTGACTCCCCTGTTCAGTCTGTACCTGTACTCCCTCCTGCTCCTTTCCCACCCCCTTTCACATATCAGTTTATGCTCTACTCACCAGAGTATAATTTTTATAGCCCCAAATTGGATCATATTACTTCCTTCTTAAAACCTCCACAATGACTTCCCAGCACATTGCAAATGTAATCCAAACTCCTTACCATGGCCATTTAACTTAATCACTTGTACAGAACCTTCTTTTTTTTTTTTTTTTTAAGGTTTTTGCCATAGGGTGTGTACACTTACAGGAGGGAGACAGAGACAGACAGTGAAAGGGAATGTGAGAAACCATCCCCTAAGGGGCGGGGGGGGGGCATACTGCAGTCCCTTCTCCTCTATTCTCTTCCTGGGGTTTGGGCAAGCACACACAAGGGCCTGACATGATTTTGAAGCCACCAGGCCCAGGATTTGAACTGCGGTCAGCCATGTGGAGAGTCCAGCACATTAACCACCATTCCACCTGCTGGCTCCAATAATCTACTTTTTCTTAATTTAGGTTCTTAGGTAAGGTTTTGTCTTGAGTTTTCTTAAAGACCAACATACTATATTTACTCAGTCCTTTGTACTGATGGTAAGATACAAATATTCTCAAAAAAAAAAAAAAAAACCCAAAAAAAACAAAAAAAAACCCCAAAACCCAAAGCTATGGAATCTATAGTTTTGAACATGAGAAACTGCAGAATGAACACATGAAACCACATTGGCCCTTAGAGTTTATGCAGACCGAGGAAAATCCACGTAGAAGGACACCTTGAAGACACACTTCCATACTTTGGTTCATACTACTTTGCTCAGGAAGTATGCCCTCCCTTCTTAACTGACCCAGTTCTACCCTTTCTTCATGAACCATCGAGCTCGGCTGAGCTTTTGTGTGAATTCCTTTTCTTTGAACTCCTTCAGCACTTACGGCTTATATTACTCAGGGCTTTAGTGTCTGCACAGTAGAAAGAAATAGGGCTGTAGAATCGGAAGATCTGAATGTGAGCTTGGGGGTTTGACCTTGAGCAACTAACATAAATCCTTGTGCTTTGATGTCCTCAAATATAAAATGAAGATAATATAAACCTTACCTGTCATCTTGAACTCTTCCCTTTCTTTTATATACCAACCCATCATAAATCTTCTTGGCTTCAACATCAAAATGTATCCCAAAATATAATCAATTCTCACTTCTTTCACCACCACCACCTGGACCAAGTCATCATGATATTTATTACCTCTTATCTGCATTAACTGAAATGGCTTCCTCATTGGCAT